GATGGATGGATGTCTATATGAAGATATCAAAACACTGTCAAGCAACAAAAGAAGCAAGCTCATTTAAAAGTTTTTATTTGAAATGATTTTAAATACAAATAATATATTTTTCCATTTACAATGACAGTTCCTTTGTAAACAAAAGTGGCAGATAGACAGTCATTGGGTAGTTTGTCCAAACTGAGGCAGGCGGCCCTCTGACAGGACGCCCGGCTGCGGTCTGTCGTGGAGAGATGCGGCGGCGGCGGCGTCGTATTTAACCTCACTGCAGTTATTTTTCCCACACAGCATTAAATCACTGATGCTACATTCTATTGCAGAGCGATAAATACTCAGAGTACAAGGTTACCTGCTAGCGGACCGTTACAGGAGGAACCGTCGTGAGTCGGTGCGTCAGCAGAGCTCAACACACCAGCTAACTGTCAAACAATAACAACAGGTGACGTTGGTGGTGAGAGATCAGACGCAGAGCCGCAGGAAGCTCCGGTTTTCTTTAATCCACAGTCTAACATGTAGAAAGAACAAAGTTAGAATGCAACAAAGCCATACGTTTGAACTACAGCTAATCGAGACGGAAAATGATCGCTTTAGAAGAGCGCTCAGCCAGAAACACTGGACCTGTTCTGCAGGTTTCTGTTCAATGACGGCAACAGAACCGCTTCTAAAGCCTCGACTGGACTCCCAACAGCTGCAGGACGTTCAGTTAAACCGGTTTCTGCATCTGTGAATACACGAGGGTCTGAGTGACAGAGTCAGTCCTAGAAAGACTAGTTTATAGACGCCGATCTGCGGTGCACGGGTGGAACGAAGGTCTGCAAGTGGACGAAAAACACAAAAAAATTAGTGTGAAACTCAAAAACCGATGTTCGTGAGCAACGCCCCGCCCACTGAGCTCTCTGATTGGTTACACGGACGATCAACAGCCAATCAGCGCTCAGGGATAAATGTCGAGAAGTTCTCTTTTAATTCGGACATTCCTACAAAGCTTTGTCTGTTTCGTCTAAATCTTAACACAAAGATTTTCATATTTTCCTGCAAATAGGATCCATTGATTACCAATAATCGATCAGCTCCTACTGAACACATATTTTGGGCTTCGAGCAAACAAACTCTGGCAGATCGTAACATCTCCGTCACGTGGACCTCCGTGTCGTCAGATCAGTGATATGTGTCTGCAGCCGACTGTGGAGAGACGGAGCTGAAAAACCAACACTGGAGGTTTTCACACAAACCTAATTTCTTCTTCTGCTCTCCAGGAACCAGCGGTGCACCGACTCGTACAGGAAGTGGCGTTTCAGTATTTATAAGGCCTTTATCGGACGATGAGGACGCTGGAATGTGCTACGATTGTAAAAACAAAACAAAACAAACAAAAAAAAAAGGATGAAAATAACGGAAATCACTTGTCTGAAAGCCCACGAGTATCTTTAATATATATATTTATATATATGTGTGTGTGTGTGTGTGTGTGTGTCAGTATCTTAGCCCCGTAAAGACCATGATGTCGTACATGAAGAACTCAAAGCGTAACACTGCAGTTCGGTTGTCGTTTAGAGATCCACCTGCCTCCAACCGACCGGAGGACACGCGGATCACAGAATCCACCTTCAGCGCACAGTGAGGACAAACGGCGGGAAATAAAAACACTCGACGACGAGGAGAAGCTTCTGCGGTTTACAATAGAAAGTATCATTGGTGTGGAAACTGGGGTGACGTTATAAAACAGAGTGCGGCTTCCAGACGGAGCTCGTGTGTTTGTGTTAATGTCGCCAATGGAATCAGCTGTTATTCGTCCCCCCTGAGCCCCGCAGCAGAGCCCGCGGAGTCGAAACCGTATGGAGGGTCCTCCAGTCCGCGGCTTGTCACCTGTCACACCTGTACAAACACAACACACACTCTCTCTCACACACACACACACACACACACACACACAGACACACACTCCGCCGGTGTATTCACAGGATCCTCTTCAGAAGGTGAACGTGAGCGAGTCTCTGCAGGAAACAGAGTCGGTGTTTTGGGTAAATGGACTCTGAGTGTACAAACTGTCCGGTGGGTCGGCGGCGGCGGC